GGGGGGGGGGGGTTGTGAGCAAGCTTTGCTACTAGCAGGAAGTATTAAAGCTTTTGCCAGTCAAAACAGGCCAAGCATGGGGTGTGGAAAGCCAGGTATGTGCAGGCATGTCTAGGTACCTGCACGTATATCTGTCAGAAGATTTTTGTTTTATTTAATTATTTGTTATCTTTTTTTCCTTTTATGAATATTTTTTTTTACTGCACCGAAAATTGCAATAAATAAAATTCATAAAATAAAAAAAAAAAAGACAGAAAAAACAAATTTAATAGAATCTTCTTGTTTGAAATGTAGGGAGCCTGTAATGATATATGGGCACTCCTATTTCCAGCATAGTTACTTAACATGCAAGCTGCTGGGCTGGCACCCTTATCCGTACTTCACTACTTAGTCACTGACCCAGAACAAACATGAAAGCCGGTGAAGTCGGGACTCCTTACAGCCATACTAGTTCCAGGCCACTGACTCATCAAAAGCCAGGAGAAGGATGACAGCTTCATAACCTGTATCTTGAATAACCAAGTCATTAAAGCAGCAACTATATTTCAATCCAGATTCCCTTAAATAGAGGTAGATGAGTAAATTATTTTAAATGGTGTAATGTAATATCAAAGAATATTAACCCCTTCGTGACGGGAGACGTACAGTGTACGTCTTGTCACTTTGTGCCTATATGACTGGCCACGTACACTGTACGTGACGAGTTATATCAGGCTTTGTAATGCCGGTATTTGCTGATTCTCAGCATTTAACAGTCATTCATTAATGTCTCAGTATTGAGGCATTAATTAATGAAATAATTAAGCTTTTTGTAAAAGCTTCTTCCTTTCATTAATGAAAGAATGAAGCCGTTACATGCAAATAGAGGACCGCAATTTGCGATCCCGTATTTGACAGCTCAAAATAGCAGAGAGGCAGCAGTGACTCACCTCACCTCTCTGCTATTTGTTTTGACAGCTCGAGAGCCCGATGTTTAGATACATTTCACTGAAAGGATACAATGTATATCTTTTGAGTGAAATGTATCATTTCTGATCGTCTAGGCACGATCAAAGAGCTTTTAGTGAGATCTGAATCTGACTAAAGTCAGGATCAGTCTCTAAGGTTATTATTAGCTGTTCCTAAGTTTGGATCAGCCTAATAGCCAAAAATAAAATAAAAAAGTTAATTTATCAAGCTGTCATAGTGATTGCTTGATATAAACTGACAAAGAAAAAAAAAGTTTTTTTATTTTATTTTTATTTTTTTTACAAAGTGTAAAAAAATTAAAATAAAGTGTAAAACAAAATTAGGAAAATATAAATTATATATAAATATATTTTTTATACTATAATTAATATAAAAAAATTCTAAAAAAAAATAATAATAATCAAAACTTGTGAAAAAAGTGTTTTCTTCTAGTTTTTTTCCTCATTTTTTTTATTTTATTCAAACTAAGTGAGGGGTTAGGTACACATATGTGATATAATTATATAGCCCTATCTGTCCTCTAAAAAACAATATATAATATGTGTGGGTACATTTAGTAAGAAAGTATATTACTGCTGTGGAAGAATCACACAGCAAAAATGTAAAAAACGTGTCAGTCATTTACGAACAGAACCTGAAAACTAGCTCAGTCATGAAGGGGTTAAGATAATTAAAAAATGGACATTAACCTTCCATAAAGCAAGATCTTCTATGGAACTACAGAACGTTCTAACATTACATACATCCAGAAAAAAATATATAGCAAAAGGGACATTAAACAGAAACCAAAATCCTTTAAGTTTTCCTAATTTGTGTATTCTAATGCGGTCATCCAGCAGAAAGGCAAAGCAGGCTTCCGATGAGACAACTATCTATCAATGCTTAGTGAACGGAGAGATAAAAGACTCTTAACCCAATGTACAGCAGTACACTTTATACACTGTGTTAAAACCATGAAATCATATATTGAAATATGTATGTGTGAACCTAAATGATGATTGATTTTCTATATTTTAATCTATCCAAGTTTGGAGATGCAGTTTCGACTGTGCTGCTGATTTTGAGTTTAGAATTGTTAATCAATCAGTAACCCCAACAAGCAGATCCTAAGTATAGTTTGAAACAGTTGTTAGGTATGACCAAAGAGTATGGAACTCCCTAATGCAATGTGAATTACTTTTAAGGTAAACATCTCATAGGTTATTTTAAAGTAAGAGCATGGATATAAAAGGACGTGGGATGATCCTTCAAGTGCACACACAGCCTCACACAGACATACACACAGACACCCCCCAACACACACACACAGAAGACAAACACATGTTAGGACTATTTTTTTACTTACTAACTAAAGACACATTTCTTAAGCATCTTATAGACTTCTGCTGTAAGATATACTATATTTTGTAATCATCGAGCATCTTATGGACTCATTCTGTAAGATATACTATATCTTGTAATCATTTGTAACTTGCAATTAAACACATTTTTGAATTTTAAGAACAAACGCAATCTTCTATTCGAACTTCTTCTATCCTATGCTTCAAGAAAATGAATATGACATAAAAAATCATAATTCTAACACATTGGAATTTAACAATCCATTGATGAATCCTACTAAATCACGGCTAGAGATGTCCAGTTTATTACGAAATCTGTTTGTCAACATTTAGATTTATAATACTGGACATCAAAGAAGAAGAAAATTCCAATCATTGAGCGCCCTTTACAATAAAATAGAAAAAGAATGATAATTACCTGCCAAGCACGATTCTGCGCCTCCTCAAATCCAAGTGCGTTAAGTTCTTCAAAGCTGAAGCTGAAATCGTAGTTCTGACTTGCAAGGTCAGTGTGTGGCAGTTCTGGGTTTGGCACTGGACGCCGTGTCATCTCATTGGGAGCTGCTACATTTCTGACCGCCTCAGGCATACGGGGCTTGTCGTGATGCACCTGTGTGTCGCCACTTCGCATATCTTGAAGCTTTAGTAGAAATAACATTCAGCAGAATTACTTGACAAATCAAATACAATTCACCAATACCTCATACAACACTACCAATATCATTACCACCATCACATCACAAAAGAACAGCAGAGTGAGACAACAGTTTCTTTCCAGGCAGGTTTCATGATTTTATCAGTTTGTCTCACCACACAGACCACTAACCTGACATCAAGCCCGGAATTGAGGATATGAAGAAGGAGCATTGAGCACCCTCCTTTTGCACCCCTCTTTCTAGAGCCTTACGAGATCCCCACAATAGAGTCATACACATGCCGATAGAGCATGCAGAGTCTCAATCACCCCAATAAAACCACTGCAGTTTTTAACCTATGAAATGAAGTAATGATTATTTTAAATGCACAAAGTCTAACAGAGGCAGGTTTGCAAAGCAGTGAATGCAAGTACAAAGTTTTTGCCACCAAAGATCCTAAGCAACATAAGAAGCTGATAGGTGAATTTACCTGATAGCATCAACCACACTCTAAAATATTACTTCTGGTTATACTGACCCAGATCCGTTTCATACAATGAGGAGTTTTCAGCAAGAGGTGCGGCACTGGATGTGGTCATGGAATCCAAGCACTGGCAACATTTTAAAGTGACAGTAAACTCAGGAGTTAAATCTTAAAAATACATTCAAGTACATTAACTATAAACAAAAATGGACCTTATTTGTGTATCACTCGGCTGTAGATCCTCAAATCATCTCTGAATTGGTGCTGACACTGTCCTTCCTTCTGGAGGGGGGCGACTTTTGTTCCCCATGGTCCCTGTGTGTGTTGTAAAGGAGTCACCGCTCCAAACTTGCTCCTGTGATGGACTACAATCTCAATACAAATTAATAAACTGAACGTAAGTTGTAGTCCATCCCGGGAGTGAGCTTGGAGCAGTGACTACTTTACAACACAAACAGGGACCACGGGGAATACAAGTAGCCACCTCCAGAAGGAAGGACAGTGTCAGCACCAATTCAGAGATGATTTGAGGATCTACAGCCGAGTGATACACAAATAAGGTCGATTTTTGTTAGTACGTAAGGTACTTGAATGCATTTTTAATATTTAAATCCTGGGTTTGGTGTCACTTTAACTACCCTGTGCAATTATGCTTTTTAAAATGTGTCTTTATAGGAGGTGTTAGCGCTGCTGACATCACCAGTGCTAATCTATCTAAGGGAAACCAGGAAAAATCTGGGAAAATTAAGCTGAGCTAATCAGTTATGTCCCATAGAAAGGTCAGGCTGGACAATGCTCCTGGGGTCCAGAAGAGTTTATAGATATGGGATGGTTGCCGGATCTAACCATAAACCAACCATATCGACTGAATATTCTCACACATGTAAGCCCTTTCATTCAGTATTAACCTGCAGGGTGTGATTCATGTTCGATGATTAGGTGGAGATTTATGATATCTTCAATACTAGGAATAATTACTCTCTAACTGAAAGCTTTTCAGTTACCAAGAATTTTGCCCAGGAAGCAAAAATGAATACAACTGGTGGGTGCAGGCCAGACACTAGGCCCTGCCTCTAGTAAGCAGCACTAGCCACGATATTCCACATACAGTCAAAGGACATAACTCAGCAGGTCTAACAAGTAAAATGTCAACAGAATCCTTACTGTACTCTTGAACAGGTGCCAGTCGCCGAAGTTCATACTCATCTCCTTCTTCAGCTCATCCATGCTGCATTGTACCAGGACACGACCATTGATGTTTGCCTACAGAGACAAAATCTTTCAGTAACAGGACAACGACCCTAACTCATGCTATGGCCTATCTGTCAGCAGAAAAATGTTGCACGAAACTAACAATCCAACAATTATATTCATTTACGATCCAAGCTGAACCTTTACAGCAAAAAAACAAAACTTCACATGCGTATTGGCGAATGTATGGGAGATGGTTCTGTTATGAAGTTAAGCCTAGTAAATCATCTGGGATGCATTACTAGGGATGCACCGATACTAGTATCGGTACCGATACCAAGTATTTGGGAGAGTAAGTGCCTTAGGGGAACATGGAGCCAGCTTCCCAGGCCAATCAGGAAGCCCGGGCGGCAAGTAATGACCCACCTCCCAGCTTCCTGATTGGCAGGGAAGCCGGCTCGATGCTGACTGGCTGGGAAGCTGGTCTCCTTGCCATTCACAATCAAGCCGGCCAGGCAACATGGAGCTGGCTTCCCAGGCAATCAAGAAGCCGGGTAGTATGTCATTACCCACCGCCCGGCTTCCTGATTGCCCGGGAAGCCTGCTCCATGCCAGCGCAAGCACCGGTATCTGTATTTGCTATCGGCGTACTCGATACTGAAAATACGGTAACGGTGCATCCCTAGTATACACCTTTTGATTTCTTGTAAATATTCTCCTGAGTACCTCAGGCCCCAATATAGGGCACGCTATATGGCTAATTCAGGATTTAGATCTCGGACATATTCCCCCTTCCCATGCAATACATCCTTCCACATTGGTCATGACGCAGCACTCTGTACTAAGGGATGTGTGTGAGCACCAGAGCTCAAAGTAAATCTGGTCAGAAAACCAAAAGGTACATGCAGGCATCTCTCAGGGTCTTTTTTCTCACAAGCTATGCTGGCTTGATAACAGAGACAGGTACACTTTACAGAACAGCTATGTAAATATCTATTTTACAGGATTATTTCCAGGATAGTGAACACCTAGAGGGAGGCTCAACATTATAGGAACAGGGTCACAACTGAAACAATGTCAAGTACCCTGGGAAAATCTGCCACTGGAGCCTAGGAAATTGCTAGGAGATGTGATGAATAAAATGAGAATTATTAGAAATAAAACATTGAAACTCACCTTGCGAATGGTTGCAGTGTACTGCGCCAACATGCTCTGCTCAATGCCTTCAATCTGCTTCAGCTTTTCACACACCGCATCCACATTCAAGGCACTCAGTGCAGAAATGTGTGCAGCTGCCACGCCGCCGCCGACACCACCATTAACCTGCTCACAGAGAACATGGTGTAAGTAGAGGAAATAAAAAGTCATACAGATAAATAAGTGTGTGAAACACATACACAGGGACAGTTCTGCCACCAAAAGATTCCTAAATGTACATACTACAGTGATCTACCCAACCCTGCTGTGCTACATGGCTGCATAACAACATGGCACCATCCAAAGTCCACACAATAATAAGTTGGTTATGGGACCCTCGAGCTCTTTCAACTGGAAGCCCACCTCCAGCAGTTACAGAGCAGGCCGTGCCACCAGGAAACACCAAGTCACAGACTACTATCTGCAGGGGCTCAGTTGGCCACATAAGCGCCAAACTGCGACAGGTTGGGCACCACAGTTTTAGATTTTGCTTTCCACAACTGGCTGTCTGAGATCACATGGCATGGAAAAATGGTAAGACTTTCCTAAATTCTGTTTTCTCCAGAATTCATTTGAATGCAACAGATACTCATTTATAATCCTTGACACAAAAGAATTACAACTAATAGTTAAGTAGAGTAGATGTTGCCACCTCAATCAGCAATCAAGCCTAATCGCCCTGTGGATCTGAACAGAAGAAGGAGTTACCGGATACATAACTCCTAGCATTCAGCACCACATCATACAAAGCTCGAAGCGACAGTCATCTGGTCAACCTAATAGGAATATTGACCAGGGTGTAGAGGCTAACATGGGTTAAAGGGAGGCGCCCACCATGGAGTAGATAGATCAAAAAATTGCTTCCAATTTGTTAGTAGGATCATTATAGAAAGGAGCGTCTTCTGAGGAAATGGTCAAAGCTTTATTAATGTGAGACCCAAGTGGGTTGACTATTTTGTGACCAAATCCTCTGCAAAGGGATACTGCCAGGAACTGCTTAGGGACAAGGAATTATTTGTCTGGGTGTTTCTAATCATTGTGCATAAGATCACTGAATAAGAGATGAAGAGGAAACATCTTGCTGGAACGTTTGGTTCTATTTGAACCAAGCCCAGACTCTTGAGAGGGGAAAGAAAAGAAGAGTGGAAACCTCTCATTTTAAGTGGAACGTACAGAAAGAAAATTATTTCCTTGAAGTTGAGAGACAATAATGGACTGAAACTCGGCTGATGAGATCTTCTCCTCTAGGGAACGGGGGGATTCTACATCCAACAACAAATCCCAGGATGAAAGAATCAGAAATATAAAGGCTGCGACACTTCACTTGAAGCCGCACGGAGCAATGGGTAGTGGCATTGATTGGACATTCGCGTGCAGCGTGTCACAGGCTTTAGGCATTTCTGCATGAGATTACACTGGGAAAGGTGGCGGTGGGCATTTAAAACCCATGCCATCAGGGAAAGCATCAAGTTTAAACAAGTCATAAAACCTTGCATAACAGCATAAAACAACTCTTGTCATGGGACAGGAAGAGGAATGAGCACCCATAGATAAAAGAGGGGATCAGAAATGGCTGATGATGCAGGCGTATATAACTGGGCTCTGTTGGAGATGATGATAATGAAAATCACCAGCAATCACAAATGGAAGAAATCCAGTTCTCTTTGCAGCTAAACCACCTAACCAGAACCCCTTTACTCTTGTACTCTACACAAGACTGAAATAGGCACAGGAAAGGATTGTGCCTCCTGCGCTTCCAACAGAGCCAAATTCGTAAGCAGAAGTGTCCCCTGCACACCATACAGCTCCTAGGACCTTTAATGCTGTAGAATAGCAATGGTGCTCGCAGTGATGTGCACGGATGGCGCTGTGCAAATCCAGTGATTATAATAATGAAGATCACCAGCACTCACAAATGGAAGAAATACAGAAGTTCTCTTTATTGTAGAATAACGTCACATGTATCCAATAGCCAACGTTTTTCGGGACCACGCAGGGCCTCTTTATTCAGGGCAAGCACTATGCTTAGTTGTCACTATGCCTGCCCTGACGAAGGGACCCTGCGTGGTCCCGAAACGTTGGCTATTGGATACATGTGTCGTTATTCTACAATAAAGAGAACTTCTGTATTTCTTCCATTTGTGAGTGCTGGTGATCTCCATTATTATTATCCGTGGACATCACTGTGACCACCATTGCTATTCTACAGCATTAAAGGTCCTAGGTTCTGTATGGTGTGCAGGGGACACTTCTGCTTACGAATTGGGCTCTGTTGGAGGCGCAGAAGGCACAATCCTTTCCTGTGCCTATATCAGTCTTGTATAGAGTACAAAAGGGATTCTGGTTAGGTGGTTCACCTGCAACCGTAGATGGCGACCCTTACGTTTAGCTTTACATTTAACTGAATCCTGTGCCACTAATGAAAGAGAAAGAAACGCTGCCCATCTTGCCCATGCGAATAGTCGAATGTTGTTTATCACAGCGGGATATGAAATACCTACACTCTTAAAATTCACTCTGACAGCAGTTTAAAGAGTCATTCATAATCAAGAAGCATAAACTTCCACAAAACAGGAAATTACTTAGAAAATGTTTATTTTACATCATTAGTAATATAGTACTTCCGTTACTACAGTTTTTATTGGAGAGAAAACAGGAGGACAACTATATTAAGACGCGAGTATTAAACCATCAGATGCTTACACTACTTTACTGTATCCGAAAAAAATGCCATGCATTATTAAAAACAAGTGAAAGAAGTGACATGCATTGTATCCATCTACCACAGGTAGAAGGACAGCTGCAAAACGTATATTGGTGCTACTGGCTTGTGTCCTCCACCATGCTGGCCAAAGGCTGAATTTGATGCCCGTATGGGGGGAAAAAAGGAAGTGTTTTTGTTCTGTTTGGTACTTGGAAGCAGCCTAGAATGACCAGTTTCCTAGTGCGTTTGAAGGAAAATGCTTATGGCTGGGAGAAAGGTCAGCGCCTGTTAGTGAGTGTACGTGATAGCAGCAACTCACTCCTGACCTAAGTACTGCACAATTTAAGTAGAGTAGAACTAGAATATTAATATCAAGGACTTAAATAAATATCACACCTGGTGCAGAAATTTCCACTCTGCTTCTTGAAGTGCAAAAAACACAATAAATAAAGTCAAACACTGCTGGCTCTGTTATACTAAGAACCTCCCCCTCCCCCACCACACACACACACACACACACACGCACACACACACACACACACACACACACACACACCTCTTGCTGTTGGACACTCACTGAGTGTGAGGAACATGTACCAGGGTCCATGTTTTAACACTCATGTGTACAGAATCTAAGGGAATCCTTACATGGCTGTTATGTAAACCTAATTTTCTGTACCTGGGGTATGAAGTATTTAAAGTGACACTAAACTCAGGAGTTAAATCTCAAAAATGCATTCTAGTACCTTAACTATTAACAACAATGGGGGGAATTTATCAAAACTGGAGCAGACAAAATGTGGAGCAGATTTGCACTGCAACCAATCAGCGTCTCTCTCTCATTTTCAAATCTTACCTGAACAAACTGAAGAGAGATGCTGATTGGTTGCCATGGGCAAATGCCTTAGACTCTGTCTGCTCCCATTTTGATAAATTCCCCCCAATGTATCTTATTTGTGTATCACTCAGCTGTAAATCCTCAAATCATCGACTACCATCTCAGTACAAATTCACTCATCCCCAAGTAATATTATGCTATAATTTTGGATTTAGGCAAGCCCAGACTATTATGCCTTGTACCAGCTCAATTGCCAAGTGTAGAGACATCCTTTTAGGGCCCATTAACACTTTTCCAGCTACTAAAACCGGGAGTTTTAACAGGCTAGCTAGAGTGTTGCGACAGCTTCGGCAATTAACCAAAACCAACTGTACACTCCGTTTAGGTCTCCGCACAGCAGCGCAATGTCCTTCACTGTGTTGACCTGCGGTACAGTCCAACGCATTGCCAATGTGCATGTCTGCACTTTTTTTGCAGCGCACCACACCTGCTCAGTGGTATGAACAGAGCACATAGAAAACAAATATTTTCTATGTGCCCTAGCAGTGACTGTCGTTCAGTCACTGAAAAAGTAATTTTTGGCTTCATCCACTACCATGTGTTGAAGGCAGCCATTTTTTTTATAAGCCTTGCTCTTAACTTCATATACACTATATGGCTAAAAGGTATGTGGACACCCCCTCCAGTTTAAATCGTGCCTTTACCCCCTTTGACTAAAAATCACAAATCGGCATGCACCTCTGCACGCTCATATGAAATTATCTTACATTCATTAGTTAAACATTTAATTTTTTATACTTCCTGGTCCACTTGGACACAAATGATGTAATCGTACCCAAGTATTGCATCCTGGGAAGGTTACATCAGCAGAGCATTGCCAGGAAATCTCACCTGTAATCTCACAAGATCTCAGGGAAATGCATTTTCTTCCCCTGAGATGATGTGCATGGTCACATGTCCTAGTCACATGTGCCAGAGTTCCAGGAAGTAGAGGGAAATGGATTAATCTGCCCTTTAGTAAAAAAAAAAGAAAAATGGCCACTGTGAGAAGACTGGGGAGGAAAAGAAAAATAAGGAATGCAAAGAATAAAAAGTCGGCAATTATCTCTAAATAACTGTTTGTAGATTGTAATTACTAAACATTTCTAAAGGTGACTTTTTTTTTTTTTTTACGTTCCTCTTTAAGGGTACCGTTACTGCTACTGCATATAAAGATGCAAGACCGTGCCCCCGTACACAAAGTCAGGTCCATGTTTGAGGAGTTTGTGTGAAGTAACTCAAGTGGCCTGTACAAAGCTGTAACTTCACTGAATACATTTGGAATAATTGGAACATGGATTAGGAGCCAGTCCCTTTAGTCTAACATCAATACTTGACTTCACAAATGTTCTTTTGGATGAATGGGCTAAAATTTCCACAAATCTTTAAACTGTTTTGGAATAGGATGTCCAACAGACTCATATAGGTGTTGTCAGCTCTGCTGGTTTTATGCTTTGTAATGGCAGCCATGTTGTAAATTATGAAGCAGTCATTTTCAATGCTTGGCCACCACCAGCTCATAGTTGAGGCAGTGAACTTAGGTTT